TTTGCCCAGTAGCCATCAAACGACACGTGCGTATCAAAACATACATGGTGAAACTGACATCCTGGGTTTTTCCGGCTTTGCCCAGTGGCCATCAGACAAAGTTTCCCTGTAATACATGTTTTGTCTTAGAACTCAACGTCAGGTGTTATCTGAAACTCTCAAAGTCTCATTTACTTAACAAAACAATCAAATAACCACATCATAGCAACAAAGAGGCATTTGAGGTCTTTTTCAGCTCCGTTTCTTGTCACGAAAAGGGCAATTACATTGTGCAAACCCTGTTGGTTTTAAGCACCTCGATGTGTACCGAACTCATTTAAATCCAGCTTTTTCTTTGTCAATGTAGGAAATTCCTAAGACTTTGGACAGATGTGTGCGAGCAAGCCATCGTTTTTCGCGGGTTTGGTGAACTGTATCAAACCAGTGCGCACATGCTGTCTCAGCGAGGACTCCACCTCCATGTAGTGTGTAGTGACAATTTTGTCTCAATCCAGCAATCCCAATCACCTGAACTTCTTTGTTATTCGATTGTCGTGCAGTTTTTAACAGGACTTGGCGACGAAGGTTTTTCCAATTTTGTTCTGTTACCTTGGTGTCAATAATCCGACAGAAAAACCCTGGACTTGGGTACCATTGTTCGTTTTGTTCATCAATATTGCATGATGGTAAGATCACCTGGTTCTGGATGATGGGAATCGCTGCTTCCATACTGGTACCATGTCCAAAAGGATAAAGCATCGAAATGGAATGGGTTGGCATGAGTGTCCATCAATCATTGGTGATGGAAAGCCAAAAGGAAAGAAAAAGGCCAGCCCAATGTTGCCACACTGTGTGTCATGAATTAGCTCGCATTCCGTGAACATTGTAGTCCAGTTGGGGATGTACTTCAAAATGTCCATGAAAACCTGCGCAGTCGCCCTGTGAACCAAGTAGATTCAATGTGATGTAAACGAAGGAACTCATCAAACATGGCCCATTCCCATCTAGGTTGTGGCAGACTCGGCCGGGGAAACTCATGAAATGCTTTGATTCGGATTTCCTGAAGCATCAGACCTTTCAGTTCCTGCAATATTTCAGATACGTCAAGCCACTTGGCGTGATTGACCAGTGCCGCGTCAATCGCCGGGGAATCTATACAATATGTAACCGCTGTAGACCAAAGTTCCAAGTGTTTGCGCGTCTTGAGCTCAATCATGTCCAACTGTAATGGGTACACCCGTATGAAGCAGTAAGAGAGTTTGGCAAGATTTACTTGGTTGAGCATAGTTTCAAACTTCCATGGAACCTGTCCTGTTGTAAACTTCCAATGTGCAGGGATCGCAACATCATACTTAGTGTCTTCGCGATCACTCAGAGTGGGGGTTGAATCATTCAATGCCGGGCATGACGCTGCCTGTTGTTGTAAAACCTGAATGGCTGGTCGTGGTGGTGGAGGAGGAGGCACATATTGTCGAAATAAATTGACTACATTTGGGTCCGTCAGGATGGACGTGTCATGGATTTCAACTCGACAACCATGTGCAGACATGTCCAATACCAATTTAGGTCGCGATGGGGCAGATTTGGCACCTAGTCCTCTTGCATTGGGTGATCGGGATCTATGACGCCGACGATCTCGAGAAGGGGAAAGTGCATGGTGCGGCATATGGAGAGCGCGTGTATTCAAAGTGGTTCAATATTTGGGGCACTGGACAACTTCAGAGTGATTAAACAAATTCTTAACAAGAAAAACCTTTCTAGTCAACAAACATTGGTAAAAACAAATCAACACCTGAAGCCAACCTTTTAGAGCCAAATTTTCATCGTGAGTTAACATCCTGGGTTTTTTCGGCTTTGCCCAGTCACCATCATACGAAAATGACATGTCAAAACATGTCAAAACATCAGATTGACATCCTGGGTTTTCGGCTTTGCCCAGTCGCCATCAGATGAGGTTTACGCATTAAACCATTTAAAGTAGACTGACATCCTGGGTTTTTTCGGCTTTGCCCAGTAGCCATCGGACGAAGTTTACGCGTCAAACGTGTAAAAGTTATAGATTGACATCCTGGGTTTTTCGGCTTTGCCCAGTCGCCATTATACGAAGTTTTCGTTTCAAAACGTGTATATACAAATTAGTCTGACATCCTGGGTTTTCGGCTTTGCCCAGTTGCCATCACAGGAGATATATGCACTAAACGATGTAAACCTAGACATCCTGGGTTTTTTTCGGCTTTGCCCAGTAGCCATCAGACGAAATTTACGCGTCAAACGTGTAAAAGTTATAAATTGACATCCTGGGTTTTTCGGCTTTGCCCAGTCGCCATTATACGAAGTTTTTCGTTTCAAAACGTGTACAAATAGTCTGACATCCTGGGTTTTCGGCTTTGCCCAGTTGCCATCAGAGGTGATTTACGCACAAAAAAAACCTGCACCTATAAACTGACATCCTGGGTTTTTCGGCTTTGCCCAGTGGCCATCAGATCAAAATTACGCGTCAAACATGTAAAAGTGGTAGACTGACATCCTGGGTTTATCGGCTTTGCCCAGTCGCCATTATACGAAGTGTGCGTTTCAAAACATGTAAAACTAGACAGACATCCTGGGTTTTCGGCTTTGCCCAGTCGCCATTTTACGAGGTTTTCGTTTCAAAACGTGTACAAACTAGTCTGACATCCTGGGTTTTCGGCTTTGCCCAGTCGCCATCACAGGAGATATACGCACTAAACGATGTAAACCTAGACTGACATCCTGGGTTTTTCGGCTTTGCCCAGTAGCCATCAGACGAAATTTACGCGTCAAACGTGTAAAAGTTATAGATTGACATCCTGGGTTTTTCGGCTTTGCCCAGTCGCCATTATACGAAGTTTTTCGTTTCAAAACGTGTACAAATAGTCTGATATCCTGGGTTTTCGGCTTTGCCCAGTTGCCATCAGAGGTGATTTACGCACTAAATCATGTACCTATAAACTGACATCCTGGGTTTTTCGGCTTTGCCCAGTGGCCATCAGATGAAAAATACGCGTCAAACATGTAAAAGTGATAGACTGACATCCTGGGTTTATCGGCTTTGCCCAGTCGCCATTATACGAAGTGTTCGTTTCAAAACATGTAAAACTAGACTGACATCTTGGGTTTTCGGCTGTGCCCAGTCGCCATTATACGAAGTTTTCGTTTCAAAACGTGTACAAATTAGTCTGACATCCTGGGTTGTCGGCTTTGCCCAGTCGCCATCACAGGAGATTTGCGCACTAAACCATGCACGTATAAACTGACATCCTGGGTTTTTCGGCTTTGCCCAGTGGCCATTAGATGACAATTACGCGTCAAACATGTAAAAGTGATAGACTGACATCCTGGGTTTATCGGCTTTGCCCAGTCGCCATTATACGAAGTGTTCGTTTCAAAACATGTATAAACCTAAGCTGACATCCTGGGTTTTCGGCTTTGCCCAGTCGCCATTATACGAAGTTTTCGTTTCAAAACGTGTACAAATTAGTCTGACATCCTGGGTTTTCGGCTTTGCCCAGTCGCCATCAAAGGAGATTTGCGCACTAAACCATGCACGTATAAACTGACATCCTGGGTTTTTCGGCTTTACCCAGTGGCCATCAGATGAAAATTACGCGTCAAACATGTAAAAGTGATAGACTGACATCCTGGGTTTATCGGCTTTGCCCAGTCGCCATTATACGAAGTGTTCGTTTCAAAACATGTATAAACCTAAGCTGACATCCTGGGTTTTCGGCTTTGCCCAGTCGCCATTATACGAAGTTTTCGTTTCAAAACGTGTACAAATTAGTCTGACATCCTGGGTTTTCGGCTTTGCCCAGTCGCCATCAAAGGAGATTTGCGCATTAAACCATTTAAAGTAGACTGACATCCTGGGTTTTTTCGGCTTTGCCCAGTGGCCATCAGACGAAATTTACGCGTCAAACGTGTAAAGTTATAGATTGACATCCTGGGTTTATTGGCTTTGCCCAGTCGCCATTATACGAAGTTTTCGTTTCAAAACGTGTACAAAAAGTCTGATATCCTGGGTTTTCGGCTTTGCCCAGTCGCCACCAGATGAGATTTACGCGTTTAAACACCCCACAAAAGGACAACACCTAAAACTTTCAAATTATGGGGAAAAACAAAACTTGGCATAAAGCAAACATAGTCACGATCTTGGTTTTGATGCATTTTAGCTGCATGTGTTCTCTGAACTATTCTCCTTGTCTCTGACTGCTTGTGGCTTTGCCTGAAGTTGGACGTCCCTTCTAGGGTGCTTATGGTCTAAGCCTGCACGAGCTCTTGTTTGCATGCCTCTCAGCTGCCTTGGCATTTCGAGCCTGAACTGGGTCTCTGACCTGTCTTGTTTGCACACTACCCCTGCAACACAGAGGTATGGAGCCCCCCCGGACTATATAAGCCGGGGCGACATTAACACACTGGACTGGTTTTAAGAATTGGAGCTGGTTCCAAATTGGTCGCGTCGAATCGTGCGGATAGTTCGTTCTGCAGGGTTTTAACTTAAAAGATTTGGCAATTCCTACCTGGTAGACCTTGTCAAGGCTGTATTCAAGAACGCAAGGTTGAAGAGGTCGAAAAGGTCGAAGCGGTCGTGAAACCAGATTTCAAATTGCAGTGCAACAGCAAAAAATTGCTTGCTGAAAATGGATAACGGAATAGAAAACAAACAGCGCATGAACAGAACCGAAGTCAACAGTTTTAACCAGTTTTAACCAAGCAGGTACACAACTGAGCGTCCTCAGTTGCTTCCCCTTCAGTGACACAGCTTCGTTGGGCAAGGTAGTCACTGAAGGCCTTGCCCCCCTGCATGTGTAGTTAACCATTCCCTGTGCTAGAAGGGTTTACACACACACACAGAGAGCGCGAAAAAATGCAATGAGATATCTATCAAATTACATATTTATATATAATAATATATCTTGATGTTTGATATATATATATATATATATACATATACAGTATTTACATAGAGAGAGAGGGAAAACTTCCCCAATCCCAACCCGGTCCTTCTGCAGTTCTGCAGTTCTAAGCTGCGCGCTTTGCATCTGAGCCCGGAGTTCGGCGCTCCGCTCAGCCCGGAGTTCAGCTAGCTGCTGCTCCATCTGAGCCTAGGAAGGCCGGAATTTGGAGGAGTTTGGCCACGTTTGGCCACACAAAAATTTGAGATCCAAAACTTGAGAAAAATGTGGGAATCTTGGAAAGATGAGAATATATCAGAATGCTAGCATTCAAAAATTGACTCTCTCTCTCTATAATTATATGATATATATGCATTAGTCATTCGGATGCATCAACAAAACATACAAAAAGAAGTCGAGGCCGTAAGCGAGTCGGCTGGGCACCTTGAGCTGCTCGAGGTGTTCCAGCTGATTCTGCTGCTGCCTGCCGGACCCGTTGACTCATAGCTTCGCCCTGGGCAACACCTTAAGAGACGACCATTTGGGGGATCTCAACTCATCAAATGATCCCATATCAATTCATATCATATGAATATATATATATATATAAAATTATAATTATATATATATATATCATGACTCATATGGTTTTGATATGGATTTGATATGGGTTCGTCTGACAAGAGTGTGGCCCAAAAACCAAAGATGTATCTATCAGCATTTTCGTCAAAAAAAAATGTTTGGGGTCATGTCCGTTTTTCTAACACCTCCATATCCCATAAGTTCCCAAACGATGGTATAGAGAGGTGCTATTCCAACACCTCTGCACTTTCCAGCCACGCTGGACAGAAGTCACTTAATCAAGTAGGATCCTAGTGTACCATGACAGTTTTTTTTCCACCATCGTGTTGGAAATTCAAAGATATTCAAAGAAGCATCCAGTTATATACATCTAGGTACAGTAGGCCTGAGTTATCCTTAATTCATCCCAAACTGGGAAAATCTGGAAAGTTGTATTGGGAATATCGTCAGCTTGAACTTGGGGCAGTGTCCTATTTTTAGTCCGTAGTCGCTACCCCAAGTGCTTGGCCAACCACTCAACTCCGTTGAAGGTACTGAGTTCGTTCTCGCCACACTGCCTGCAACACAGTGCGACCGTCAGGGACAAAAACCAAGTGTGATCGATCATGATCGATCCATAAGAATGAAGAAGGTGTGGGAATGTGTGCGTCAGACTCCAATTCTCTGAGTTCTCTCTAGTCTTTTCACCATGGCCAGGCTGATACCCTGCAAACATTGACTGGCCTTGCCAGGTCAAAATATCAAAAAATATCATCATTAATGTTGGTGAGAAATACCACCCCCATATGAACAAAGCCACTACTACACCAGGGTTTCTGGGGGTTTACTTCAGTTTTTTTGGGTGGAAGGGATTCCTGACTATACCCAGCTGTCACCTCCTTCTTGCGGAGCTCGGAATTCTGCGCGATCAAGGCGTGGTTCTCGGAGCGAAGCTCGGCCTTCAAAGCGCTGTGCAGGAAGCCCGAGACAAATCTGGGTTCGGAAAGGGTAGTTGAACCGCTAGCTGCCTATTATTTCAAAGGCAGTTAAAGAAGCAATGGCACATGATGGCACGCTTTTCATGTGATGTTCTTCTTTTTCATTGGGGGCGTGCCTCAGGAACCGAAGCAACAACTTTGGAGCATGCTGGACCCTGCTAGAGGGTCTGCATAGCCTAAGTTCGATCCCACATTTCTATACATTTCTTACACAATACGTTGGCTCACATAGACGAATCATATGAGACCTGCGTCCGGGAACTAAATTGCATGATGGCCTGACGGCTGTTCTTGGAACATGGATGGGCCACTTACTTGACACACTGATCAGCCTACAGCTCGCTTCTTTAGTCACCATGGTTTCACATCAACAAGCAGCAATTCTAAAGCCAAAAATGGAAAACAAAACGTGGCAAACCCCAATGATAAACCTCCGCTTGGGACTGGCTCATACGTGGTGTATATATATATATATATTATGTATGATTGTGTATGTAACTGGTGATTGTTTATAATATTTATAACTAACTGGGTTTTCCTCATCATCATAGCCATTGCTGGTGTTTCTTTTCTTACCATGAATCTCGATCACACCTGCTCGGCCAAGTGATGCGCCAGCAAGTCTTTCATCACGTTCCTGGGCGATCGCCCAACGGTTTACCCCACACCGAAGCGGTGAAACAACGTGTGAGTTGAAAACCACATGAAAACTATATACTATCGATGATAATTTTCATTTAAAAAAATCATATCCTGCAACATCAGAGGCCCCGGACATATTCTAACTTGGTGACTTAAGTGACACAGTTTCGGCTTGCCATGGTGGTTAAGGCACAGACCCTGCAGGTGATAACGATAAAACAGTCAGGAACAGCATAGGACATAGGAACACCATGGAACACCCTTCCCCAGAACAAGAAAGCCATAGTTACCAATGTTATCCCTAGTTTAGGTGGGACTTGACTTCTCACTACTTCTCTGTCGTTTGCGGCCACGATTCAATGCATTCTCAGCAGTGCTCCGGGCCGGGCAAACCTGCGAGACAGCATCCGTTGGGATCATCATTTCATCAACGGATTATAAACCTACAACGATGGATACGAATTGTCATAATATGTTGTATAATCAACATTGTTAATGAACATGAATAACTATATATATATTAGATTATTAGATTAATATGTATTGATAACTACTCATAATGATGTTATATATCATCCCAGATCTATTCTCCAGATCACCATGAGGTGAACCGCCTCCGTGTCGCTGTCACTCTCGGAAGCCTCACCAACCGCCACCCTTCCACTCCTCATCATCACCATATCATCACCATATCATCACCACCATCACCATCATCTTCACCATGATTGTCATCATCATGCTCATGTTCATGGGATTTCATGGGTATCTGAGGATCAACTAACAATATTCCATTAGCAAGTAGGTCTCCTCGCCTTGTCATCATCGAGGCGAAGTTCTTGCATTCGAGCTAGCCTCAAGTGAAGACATCCAGAACAAACATCTCGTGTTTGCCTTTGTCCTACTTGGAAGTGCAGTTTCAGTAGTGGATCAGTGGATATAAGACCAGTATAGTAATCCTTATAGTATCTTTTTGGGCCCCATATTCTGAGGGTGTTTAATGCCATGCTTATACCATGGATCCAGGTCGGCCTGCAAGATGCTTGCTTTCTTCTTTCAAACATGGATTTCACTGACAGTGGAGGTTTTTTCCCCCCAATTCATGGCCATGTTCAGAATTATAAACATGGATAAACCATCAAATTTAAGGTTTTTTCCCCTGAATGTTCACACATTTTATCACACATCTGTTGGTTCCAAACCACAGCAGGACATTGGCACTCCAGCTGCCTGGCCAAGGTGCAACCTGCCGCGAGCCTCTTGGAAGCCACAGAGTTTGGCCGTGGTTTGTGCCACAAGCTCCGCCCATGGACTGCCCCATTCCTGACCGGCTCACATTGGAGATCCAATACGAAAATACCAGTTGATACCAGTTGTACATTGCACACTAAGGTGCTTTGACGTGGGGGTTCGGGATTTAATGGGATTTACTTATTTACCCATCATAAAACGGCATGAGCATCTAACCATCATTAAATGGGCATAAGTTCTGATGAAATACGCCCCTTGACCCCTTCGTCTCGTGTTGCATTGGATCTATTCATTTTGGGGCCCCGGATTGGATTCCAAGGTGCTAAAAATGGCTAAAGGCTGACGAGAAGAATTATAAAACTAGAAGGGATCCCACCATATTCAATTCCAGTTGCAGAGGGTTTAAAATGGAAAATTAAGAAACATATTACATATTCAACAATGGTGTCAATATACAATATATATATATATATACAACGGCCACTCTGTGGTTTACATCATTGTCAAACTTGCAATGGATGTCCATCCGCCCAGACATAGCTTGACGAGGTCTGATTCGGTATGCACCAAATGGATAATGGTTCCAACTTGAGCTACAAAATATGCAATATGTGGGGTGAATGATACCCTCCCTGAGAACTAGGGTTTGACATGAGTCAACAACCGGAAATAAAACCAGCGACCCGACCATTTCCATTCATCACTTCTCAACCCCGAGGATAGCCCAAGTCCCGTACCTCATCAACATAAGGCACAGGAGATTGGCTGAAGCACGCCTTGGCCCAGCTTGCCTGATGGCACCAGCTGATCGATGTTGGATGAATGTGTGTTGTCAGTGTTGTCTTGTTGTTCAATCCTCCAAACAAATTGCACTGCCATCTATGCTTATTGACTTTATTGCCTCATCTAAAAACAAAGCACATCTGGACAACTTTCTATCCCTACCGGGAGTTTTTTTTCGGCTTCCGGTGAAGTCATGGCCTCCAGCTC